ACACTGCAAACTCTGCCTCTGTCTTCAGAAGGCCTTCTTTCCTGTGTGTCTCTCTGTGTGTATGTCTCTTTTTGTAAGATGACATTCATTGACTTTAGGACCCAGCCTTATCCAATATGACCTGATCTTCATTAACTAATTATATCTGCAATGACCCCATTTCCAGATAAGGTCACATTCTGAGGTTCTGGGTGAATAGGAATTTTGGGGGAACACTTATTCAACACACCACAGTGACTTCAGCCAACATGAGCTTGTCCAGGGTGGAGCCAGCTCAATGTTCCCTGGATAGTGTTCAGGCAGGCCATGGTCCCTCAATACATGCTTGTGGTTGAAGGTCATAGTTACAGCGCCACAGGCTAAGAGAGGGATCTGATCACACAATGTGCAAGGAAACAACAGTGAGTGTGAAACTGAATCTGTTTCAAGGTCTGAACCTCACTCTATGAAATTCACTTCCCTGAAGGACTCCTTAGTCATAAAACAAAGCAGAGAAGACTAACAAAATAACCTCGCTTATTCTTACATCCTAAGCTTCTCCAACATTTTGCCACATTTGTTTGGGACCATATTTTAAAATGTTTTTTTTTTTGTTGTTGTTGTTAAAAATTGATGCTCGAATCTGGCAGAATTGGAGCAAAAGGAACAACTAGCAAATGGGAAAGAAATGAAGAAGGGGAGTGTTAGTGTGCCTGAGATGGGGTGGGGGGGGGAATGTGAGGAAGAGGTAGCGGAGGCAGCGCATAGAGATGAAGCCCTTACCTTCCGATCACCCATAGTTCTAGCCCCCACACCCCTCCTCCCCATCCGCCTAGAGTCCCACAATCTAGCTGCCATCATTCTTACCAACTCAGGCGTCCAACAAATTTAAGAGATTTTTTTCCCCATTTATATCCTTTTTCCTCAGTGACAGATAGATACTCCAGGAACACACAGACAGGTCTGCTTTTTAAAAATTCCATTTCTTGTCCCCAAATGAATTTTAAACAAAAAAGGACTAAGGGCATTAACTTTTCATTTTATATTTCATATGTGCTTAAATTTTTGCTATGTCAACATGATATATCCTCCCATGAAGATTTTCCATTCCTTTCTAAAGAAGGCAAAGCAAGTGTCTCCTCTCTTTTGAATGTTCCCTGTGAAGGTGCCTCCTTCACTAGCCTGGGACCTGGAGGTGGTAGGGAATGGGGTGGGGTTGGGTCATGAGGTGGGGACAGCCACCGATATTGGTACAATATCCAGTGCCTAAAGGAAAGCCTGAAACAAGGCAGAACCCATTAAGCCTGCATGAAACTGTCTAAAGAGAGAATAGTGTCAGCTTGTGATTCTGGCCAAGACTTAGGCATATTTTACTGACTTAAATTTATCTTTAATAAGCTTTTGGACATTTAAGAGTAACATAATTTGCATTCACAGATTTAAAATGAAAAGGTGACCTCTTTAAAAATAGTAATTCCTTAAATTCTTAACTTTGGCTCCCACCCTGAAATAACATAAATAAGACTGAATCCTGCTAGGAACAAAAATCAAGAGTAATGATTTTCAACAATATGACCTGATGAATTTAGCTGTACTTTCCACATACTCCTTCTGCTGGATTTCCAAGCTATACCAGTTTAGGAAATAGTATTCTAGGAAAAACAGTTTTATTTTCTTGGATGTTTTATTTTCTTTATATATCTCTGAAACAACAGCTAGAGAGGCAAACTAAAAATATTAACTCATCTTAAGGTCATCGGCAAAAGAAGAAAGGAGTCTGAGTACTGGAAAAACGATGTCAACATTATTATCTAGAAAATTCCTTAAAATACAGTCTTATCTTAAAACACAAAAAGGCACCCATAACTCTAGTTGCCTACATGAAGATTAAAGGCGGAGGTCAAGAGAAGAGACTTGAACTGAGCTGAGTGGCTAGCGCTGTCCAAGGTACCTACACACTCCCCCCAGCAGGAAAGAATTTCAGGTGAGAAGGGAGAGGGAGAAGACAACTGGCATTTAAAAGCCAAATGATGTTGGCCATGTGGGTGCCACTACATTTATTTCTGGGAGCAAAGTTAAGGAACCAACAGAGAGGAAAGTGTTGCCCTGTCAGCAATTGGTGGTGGTTGTGCATTGTTTTAAGCACAGATCTGTCAGCATTCTCCTATCTGATAACTTTGTATGTCCTCTCTCTGTGGTAGGGTGGGAATGGTCTGAAACCAAACTCAGAATGTGGCTCAAGTCCTGGCTTCACGACTTACTACACATGGGCTTACTGGGCTTACGATGCATATGAGAATCAACAACGTATCTGAAGCGGAAATTTCAGGCCCCTGGAAGACAGAGATTTTATGAATAATAACACTAACTTTAATTTTATTAAAAAATCTAGTCTCTATTGATGGTGCATCTCAAACCTCCCTAGAGTCCTTTCAGCACTGGGTACAGAGTGCTGGCCACTCCTACCCTCCATGACGCTTCCCCGTTGCATCCTCTCCATGCGAAGCACAATCTCACCTGACCTTTAAGCCTTTTTGGACCACAACTGGCTGTCAGCCATTTCTTCACCAGTTTTTCCTCCTGTACTGCCATGATCATAACACTAAAATGTCACTAGGCTGTTGTGCTGAGGCTCACTGGGTGAGTGTCATTTCTTCCACTCAGTTATGACTTTCTGCAGTGCAGAGGCTGCCCTATCTCAGCCTCTTTAGCCCCTTACGGCAGGTGGTCAGCAAAAGCTCATGGCGTAAAACTGCTGCGTGGCAGAAGCAGCACGGGAGGTCATTTCTTTAATCTGAAGAAAGATCTTGGCTTTGTTGGAAAAATGAAAAGTGTAAATATACTTGCATACTAAAATCTAAAGTCTTCTATCATGATGTGGACATCTGTGACTGTTCTGGTGTCACAGATGTCGATATGACAAACTAAACCAAATGGCATCACTTTTTGCTTCTTAGTCTGGCCAGCAGCAGAAGCAGCAGCAAATGTTGAGCTTCTGTATGTGTGAATAGAGAAGGACGCGGAGTAATTCTGGTCTCACTAAACCGCTCTGGCATCACAACCCAGACCTTAAACTCAGCCAGATGATGTATAAAGGGGAACCGTGAGCCTACACTGGTCTATCTTCTTCATCTACTTTTTTTTTTTTGAGATGGAGTTTCGCTCTTGTTACCCAGGCTGGAGTGCAATGGCGCGATCTCGGCTCACTGCAACCTCCGCCTCCTGGGTTCAGGCAATTCTCTTGCCTCAGCCTTCCTGAGTAGCTGGGATTACAGGCACGTGCTACCATGCCCAGCTAATTTTTTTACATTTTTAGTAGAGACGGGGTTTCACCATGTTGACCGGGATGGCCTCAGTGTCTTGACCTTGTGATCCACCCGCCTCGGCCTCCCAAAGTGCTGGGATTATAGGCGTGAGCCACCGCGCCCGGCCCCTTCATCTACTTTTTTATCAAAGGATGTAAAATGTACTTTCATAAAGGTGGTGGCCTACATCCTTTCAAAGACAAAGAAGACATACTTATGCTATTATATTAATCAGAGAGCATTTTAATGGACAGAGCTAGCCATGTCCTTATTGACTATAATGGTCTGAGGCACTTCCTTCTGCAGTCTTCACTAGGGACCCTGACACTCTGAAAGTAGGGAATGCTAGGAAGGGAAAAACACTTTTAAATAGTTATAAATAAGTGAAATAGAAAAAAAAATCAGGCATGAGAGTTCAGAAGTGCCTACAATTTTAGCTTTGGAGGAGTTATACTTCCTTTTGGTTGGACAGACGTTTTCTAATGGATAACAGAATTTAAGGGGTTATAAAATGGATGCCTCAGCAGGGGGTTTCAGAGAACTGCATACTTGGCATATGGCAGCACCTATCCAGAGAAATCATGTCAGATGTTCATGATTTCGTGACTTGGATGAAAAGCAGAATTGTCAGAGGATTCCCATTCCTGCCTATGAATGCATGTAGATGTTCGTGAAGGCAGGCTCTTATCTTGCCCTGTGCACACACATTCACACAAACACACACCTCCCCTCTCAAGACTGGAGGCTGAGAGCATTGTGATGAATACTCATGAGATGATGATTATTAATGCAACTGAGGTGATTTTGTTCCTTCTCAGTACAGACTGGTTGTTATACCTAGAAACTGATCAACTATAGGAGAAGTGGCAGTTTTGAACCATTCCAACCAAAGCAATCCTGTATGTTTTATTTTTGAAATACAGATTATTCAGCCAGGTATTTTAATCACCCCTTTTGCCCCTATCCCATCAACTTCATCCAGCAGAGATTTCCAACTTTGGTATAAAATACAACACCCTCGGGAGCACAGTTTCTAAAGTTTAGAAGAATTACATCTTGATAACTACTTTCCTTCCTAAGAGCAGAAATTAAACAAGACATAAAGTTGATTCTAAAAAATCTCAGTAGATTCCTGAGGGATGGATAATTTTTGTGAAAATGCATCAGGAGAGAATTACAACACATTTGCTGCTTTTACTATTTAAAAAAAACCATTTAATACAACAGGCCTTATTAAAGAGCTATTTCTAAGAATTGTAGGTTCTTAGAGAATTTTTAAAAGGAGAACATTTTTTAAAATAGCTACTTGTGACACTTAACCAGATCCCTCTGTATCTGTTATGGACTCTGCCCAACCAGTCAGCTTGCCTGGTTGTTCTGTATGCATGATATAATGTGAAAGTACCGAGAGCTACTGTTTTTGGCCAAAGAAAATGACTTATTTTCGGTTGGAATAAAAATGTTTGTTTTTCACCTTAGACCTAAGAGATCATGTGAAAGAAGTCTAACATTGACTAGGTAGAGGAAAATATCTACATGACTTTATTACCGGGTTAGAAATATCTTTTACTAACTTCTTATATTCCATTGTCACATCAACATTCATCTTTTCAGAATGGTCCAATCCTCAGCAAAAGAGCCATTAAAGTTATGGAAAGAGACAGCGTCTGGCCAGGGGAAGATGGTGGGAGGAGGTACTCGTGACACAGGACTGACCTTAGGCACCCGGTGGCGTTACGCAGCACCTGTGATGAATGCAGCTGTATTTTCCGATCATCCTGAAGAGGCGAATTTTCCCAGCCTGAGTGGGGGATAATCACTGCGTTGGTCAGTACTGCCAGGGCATCCTGGATGATTGGCATTTTGAGTGCATCGCATGAGGAGAGGTTCCAGAGGACTCCTGCAAGAGACACACAAAAGGAGCTTTTGGGTGGCCATGAGTTTTTCTCATCTCAAAACTGTCTTCCTTATTTGAGTTAATGGCACTGGCAGGAAGGATTAAGACACCGTGGACACACATCCTAGAGTTTGCTCTTAATTTTAGAACATTTGTGTGAACCCATTAAAGGCATTCTGTGAAAAATCTGATGAGTGAGCACAGGAATCGCGACATGATTGTCTTTATCTCCTCATGAAGCATAATCAAGCTTCTGTTCTATTTTCACACAATGGACTCAAGTTGCTAAATTCTAACCAAGACCAAAGGGATGTGAAAGTTATTTGAAATGGACAATTAGAGCATCTTTGTCTTACCCAAGAACTCAGTGTGCACATGTGATTGCTATGAAAGCTAAGTGCTTTCATAAATAACCAGCTACCATGGTTAGGACCTTATGAGAAGCCAGCATCAGGTCAGATGACAACCAGCTCAACAAGCAATTTAAACTGTGCTCCCTTGTGACAGTTTTGTCGGCTTTTCTCTGAAAGCAATGCTCATGGAGGACCTACAGAATGTTCCTCCTTAAACAATGACAAAGGGAGCAGTGGGAAGAAGAGGGCATGTCCACAATGAACAGAATGTCACAGTAATTCATGCAGGCAGAGCAAAGCAAAATGTTAAGGACAAATAGAACATTTTAGGCTTATAAATACTTTTTTAAATTGAGACATTCTAGAAAAGGTCATAAGCACTGCATATATATTACAACATCATTTGAAAATGCTTTTAAATAATTGTTCTTTTTTGCTTAGAACAGTACAAATAAAGAGAAAAAGGAACAGAGAATAACATTCTATTTTTCTTTGAAAGAAAGCCTGTATACGCCCTCAACCTAAACAGGTACCACCATTGCAGATATTGGAAATAAAATACTATAGTTGTCTTTAGAAACAGAACTTCTAGCTTACGTGCTTAATAAGCTTTCAATACATTTTAATGAAATGAGATTTTGTTCCATCTACTGTGTTCTGTACAGAACAAACAACATATTTATTTCCAACAAATAAAATTTGTTTTATTGGTTCCTTGCATTGCACATGTTGAACTATCCAAGGACATTAATAATACAAATCTGGCCATTAATAACTAAGTAAGTGACTATAAAAATAAAGTGACTATCAAGTTCAATAAAATGTGACTACAGAGACAAAACTCAATTGTCTTTAGAAATAACATTTACTGGAGATTTTATTTAAGTGAATGCAAAGGAAACAAAATGATTTTAGTTCCTGGCAGGCATAAAGCCATCCTTCAGCACAAGGGGTTAACTTGAAGGAAATCTAGTTTGTTTGTTTTTTTATGAATAAAGTCTAATTGAAGCACAGCCGTGTCTGTTCATTTCTAAATTTTTATATCTGCTTTTGTCCTATAAAGGAAAAGTTGGGTGTTAGTGACAGAGACTATGCAGCCCACAAACTGTAAACAATTTACCAACTAGCCCCTTACAGAAAAACTTTGCTCACCCTTGCTTTAGTAAATGTCACCATTTTCTACGCACTTTTGTTTGTGCTTGTATTAACATTAGCATCCTAAATCGAGTACACAAAAAATCCTCAATGATACACGGAAGGTGCTCAGCATATATTCTGATTTGGACTGATTTGACATACTAGGAATATTAACACATACGTTTATTTCTTTTTAAATAAAACACAAAGCTGCTTATTCATCCATTGAAAGATATTTTACCAAATTTTGGTAATCTAAATAATCAAAATGACTTCCTTCATTTCCAGCCTCACAAAAATGTTCTTTTTAGAGTAAAATAATTGATTTTGTAGCTTCTAACAGTATATTAAAAAGAAATTAGTATCTATCACAGTATTTAAGAATAACTTTCAGGAATATCCCATTAAGGCATTTGTGTCTGCTCTTCTAAGTACACAATGCAAAAATACAGGAACACAATGTGCATACTTTTCATTCTCAAATCCAGACTTAAAATATCAATGCCTAAAAATTGAGGCTTGTATTTGTTTGAAAATATGGATGACATCTTTTGCTATACAGTATATTTCCTTTAAAATCCAAATAGCAGCCTGGGCGTGAAGGCTCATGCCTGTAAGCCCAGCACTTTGGGAGGCTGCGGTGGGTGGATCACAAGGTCAGGAGTTTGAGACAAGCCTGGCCAACATGATGAAGCCCCAGATCTACTAAAAATACAAAAATTAGCTGGGCATAGTGGCAGGTGCCTGTAATCCCAGCTACATGGGAGGCTGGGGCAGGAGAATTGCTTGAACCCGGGAGGTGGAGGTTGCAGTGAGCCAAGATCATGCAACTGCATTCCAGCCTGGGTGACAGAGCAAGACTCCATCTTGGGTAAACAAACAAACAAATAAAAACTAAGTAGCAAAAGAGAAACCTTTGCATTTTTACATGCAATGAATATAAGAGAATCTAAAGGCTTTCTATGAGAATACAGCTATTTTTACTATTTTCCTACAAACAGAAAAGAGACAGGGGAAGAGAGGAAGGAAATCAAAGAAAGCCTAAAGGCCAAATCTAATATCTGACAAAGTGAAAGAACAGAAAGGCAGATGCAGTCTGGAATGTCTCTTTACAGGCTGTTCTATCTCCTTCACCTTTCCCATTAATTCATTAATCAGTGTAACCTAATTCAGAATTATTCACAAACAGGTTCACATTCATTCCACCTTTCCAGGCTGTCTCCATCTGCGAGTCACATTGCAATGAACTGATCGCAGTACTTGATCCATATCTCTGAACCTTCTCTCTTAATTTATAACTGCAATAGACAGTGCTTCCTGAACTTATTATAACTGCAATGAATCTCCATCGAACAACTTTATCACCTCTGGATGAAGACTTGGCAAAGTGGATTTAATGTGGCAGATTTTCTTGAGGGGGAATTCAGCAAACCAGCTGCAGGGGGTCCTCAAAATTTTGAGGTGGATTATCTGGACATTAGACAGGTTTAAGTATAGAAGCAGCAGCTTCTGGAGACAATTGAGATGAAGATTTACATCACCTGGCAGGAGTAAAAAGTGGGAAACAACTGGGAATTCCACATCTTTTCTGCTACACACACACACACACACACACACACCCATTAGTCTTGACTGATGGGAGAGAGATTAGTGGAGAGAATCAGACATATCTAGGCATCCTCTGAACAAATGGAAAATAAATGTTTTGCTCAAAATTTTACTTCACTCTCCCTCCCTTTTCTCATAGTGGTCTAAGATATGTCCACAAATTCTTGGATGTTTCCTTCAAAGGATGGAACTTAGTCCTTCTCTCCATGAATGAGGATTAGACTTAGTGACTCATTTGTGACCAGTGAAATATGGTGGAAGTGAGCGTGACTTGAGACTAGGTCATTGAAAAGGTACTGCGGATCCCTCCAAGAGGGGAGGCCAACTGTCATGCCGTGATGACCCTCGAGCAACCTTATGGAGAGACCAGCATGGCAAAGAACTAGGGTTTTCAGCCAAAATTTTGAAAGTGGATTTTCCAACCCCAACCAAGTCTTTGGATGACCACAACCTCATGAGAGACCTGAGCCGGGACCACCCGAATCTGTGGCTCCTTCTTGCCCTCCTCACATTTAGACAGTGGGTGACATATATGTTGGTTGTTTTAAGTTGTTAAATTTTGGAGTAATTTGTTATGCAGCAACAGACAATGTGCCTTTCCTTTCCTACCAAGCTCCTACTCTCTCTCTCTGTTGCTTTCTCCTCTCTGGTTCACCTTCCTCTCCCTTTGCCTTTCTACAACGGATGGGCTCATTTTTCCCTCTTGCCTCCCTATGACACTTTAATTCTACTTACTCCTCTCTTACCTAAATCCACTTGTTCGCTTATTCCTTCCAAATTCTAGTGTGAGAGTATACAAGCTACAGCAAGGATGATCCAGCTACACTTTGCAACTAAATTTAAAATGCATTTTAAGTGATTAAATATTTAATTTTTAAAAATGTATCATTCTTCGTGTTTGGAATTCAATAACTGATCAAATCCTTTACTTTGGAATAATCCTGCTCTTATTTCCAATTGCCACGTTAACAAATCACCACACAGGGGCTTGAAAAACACAACTTTAGTCTCTGACAGGTTCTGGAGGTCTGGAGTCTGACACGGGCTGGCAGGGCTGGGTCCTTCCAGAGGATCCCGGGGAAGATGTGTTTCCTCATCCTGTCAAACACCTGGGGGTTGCCTCGCATTCCTTGGCTTGAGATCTTACATCTCTCTGACTTTGGCTTCCATCCTCACATCTCCTTCCTCACACTGATCCTCCATCCTCCCTCTCATAAGGGCACTTCTGATCACACGGAACCCGTTTGGATAGAATCTCCCCATCTGAAGCCCTCCTACCTGAATCCTACCTGCAAAGTTCCTTTCACCATGAAAGGTGACACTTACAGGCTCTGGGAATTAAGATATGGGATTTTGTTTTGGAGGGTAGGGGCATTATTCAATCTACTACAAATCCCCTCAAAAAATAACCTGTTATGCTTAAAATAAAATTAAACTTATGGTAGCCTCATGATCAGGCCTTTCTCTAAATCTCTCAATTCACCTTGAGTCAGATTCATTCATTCATTTGTCCGTTCCATAATATTAAGGACCTACTACATGGACAGTTCTGTTTGACGCGGAGTGGAAACATCTGTGAAGAAAACAAACAAACAAAAAAATCCCTGTGCTTGTGGCCCAGGTATCATATAGCTCTCGTCGCTATGCTTCAGCCATAATGGGCTGTTACTTCTGGAACACACAAGCTCCTTTGCGTCCCAGATCCCTGGACTTGCTGCTGCCTCATTCTGGAACATTCTTTCCTAGATCTTTTCATGGCTAATCCTTCTTCCATTCACGTCACCTTAAATGTGCTAAACTCAGAGAGGCTTTCCTGGATCAATCTAATCTACCTTCCCAGACACTTGCTGTCCGAGCTCCCATTTAATTTCAGCAGAAACCTCATCACTAACTCATTCTGTCATT